AACAAGTTCTTGGGCTCTTCCTTCAGTTGTTCTAGTTGAAGTCTTTCTTTTTCTTCCGCGTCAAAGTCTCCGTCGACCGTAGGGTTGCCCTGAAGACGCGAGAACAGCCACTGAAGGCTCGTGTTGTTCTCGTTGTCTTGGGTCATGGCAATTCGACCCAAAATCTCCTTGTCGTCCTGGTCCAAGCATTGCCACTCTGTCTCTTTTTTCGCCATTTTGTGATCCTCATTAGAGGAATTCCACCTCCCTGGTTACAATCCTTTGGTGAGCCTGTTGTTTACGGGATGCTTGGAAGGCAATTTGCGGAGATTGTAAGGTACAACGAGCCGAAACCCTACTTTAACCACAGCAGAGTGCGCGTATGCGTCCTGATGACTAGACTACTACTATATGTTGTCTGTTGGCTAATATTTTATAAACACCACCCAGTGTCAGAAGCCGTCCAACAGGTTTGCGGGGTGGATCGCTACCGGCATTTTTGGCACAAGGGGAGGGTGACCTTTAACTGATTGCAGTCGATATTTCTGTAAGGCATGTATGGTGCAGGGATCTTGACGGATTTTAGCACTTCCCAGATGACATAGCTACATATGTAGGCTCCGTGTAATCTCGTGTTGTGGGATACTAGTATTGGTAGCCTGGGTGTCATCCTCTTTAACCGTTCCCTAATGTCGCTGGCTACCCCACCCTGGCACCGAGGCTAGGATATTGGTGTAGTCGACAAGTATCTCGCCCTGTCACCTAACTATAATCTGACTTTCCTTATCATGTCACAGGGCTCGACTTCGAAATATCTTTACCTCCATGATCCGACCCTCCAAATGTCTTGTAGTGAAGTGTCATCACTCGCGTTCTTGGTGTGTGCCTTGATTGATTGGTCAAAGGCGCCTCTTGCGGTCACGACAATAACTGCACCTGGTAACAAAATCCACTTTCCGAAATGTGAGAAATCCCTCTGCATTACCGTCTGTTTCTGAACATTTTCTGAATCTTCAGAATCTGACCTACGACTTACCTATAGATCGCAGTGTCTGAATATCTTTATTCAATAAAAGATCAAATCAGCCTACAGACCGCCTTTTATTGAAGTCACGAGGGGAGAGGTCAGAGTCGGACAAAATGTATATCAAAGTTATACATGTATATTATTAGGATTTAAACATCAATTAAAGGCTTGATAAATCTATACACTTCTTAAAAGTCAAACTGTATGTTTCAGTCAAAATATATAAAGCACCGGCCACAGTTTAACAAAACTGGCTGTAATTGGGATGTGTTTGTCGGTTCTACATCAGCAAATTATAAAGTGGTTTTGATAGAACAGTCTCGGTTCCTTTGTCTCATTTGCCCGGTAGGGTTTTAAGCACACAAACGCAATCCGCATAACCATGTCTCTCTGTGCCGTGCTTTAGTCTCTATTATTTCGCACGTCCCAAAAAGGTACCGCCAAGCCTTCTGACAGTAGGACCCACCCAATGTGAAGTACCCTCCAAGCAGAGGTTTCGGCTTCGGCTGATTTTTGACGTGTTTTTAGGCGTCATAGCCGTATCATGTGTGATGACTTTTAACACTAGTAGTAGTGTTTGGTTTGTTGATAAAACGTAGAACAAATCCGGCGGCCTTGCAGTAAAAACTGATACCATAAAAGTAACGCAATAATTTATTATCATAGTACAAATATATATACAAACAACATTCAATAATGTAGACGTGGTTAACAGTTATCACAGTTCAAGTTAAAGTAGGGTTTCTGTCCGAAATCAAAAGGCAAGTTTACTGTCCACCACGAATAACAGTTCAGTTTTGTAACTCGACCAGGACTTTTTGGCCAGCGTAGGTTTTGCAGTCGTGGTGCAGCGTCTAGTACCCCTGGCTCCAGAGAACTTTTACCTTTACTCTCCTGAGGTCACCCACACGCCTACAGTAAACACTGGCTGCTAACATGTTGCTACTGATGTTTATGCAACGCCGTAACGTAATGAAGAATATCTGTTTGTGCTATGATACATACAGTAGAGAATGCGATTGTTTGATCTACAGGAGTTGCCTGCATGCTACGCGTTTTGCTTTGATAATCGTGTCGAGGACACAGACTGCTGTTTTCATGATCAATATTGCCTCATGAATATTTAAAGCGACCAACTGACAGGAAAGGTCATTAATTTACCTGCAGCACAGTTATAGATATTTGTTAAAATGTGCATAATTTCAACAGACAATGGAGTAATCAACCCATGGCTTTTAATCTTATAATTGTATACGTTGAACTATCTAAAAGGAAACTTAAAGGACGGATATATCCTTTAAAATGCTGTATTCGTAACGCGTCTGATGCTAGGTCCGCTATTCTTTCCTCCCGTTAAGGGGTCGTAATATTTAAACATGATCGGAACGGGTTTGTACAAGCGATTGTCTGGGCCGCACCACCAACCACTCAGTACACCAGCGAGAACACCGCCACATAAACACAGCATGAACAAGCTACGCTTCAAATGGGGCGGGAGCGGTGCCGAGAAGAAAGACAAGGAGCCCAAAAATCATTACGTGAACGGCGGAGACCACCACTACAGCCTACAGCCGGACACGGGGGAATATTGCCAGTCGGACCCGCCGGGTACCGTACAGACTAACGGAGACGTACCGGGAGACCATCCCCGGAACTCCCGGCTCCAACTCTCACCTGCCGCCGCCTCACCTGCCGGCTGGACCTACTACGTCACGCAGACATCACAGGAGGAAGGAGAAGGGGAAGACGAGAACAGACTCTTGAGTTATGTCGGGAAGAGAGACTATTCGGGCGGGGTGGAGGACACGGAGATTGTGAGCAGGAACGGGACGGTACGGGGGGTGAAGAACAGGGTACGGGCGGGGCTGGCGCACTTCACTTCCCTCACACAAGGAGCGCAGGTAACCATACAACTTTTCAATAGTTATCTAGCGGTTAAAATACTCCCCAGAGCACAAGTTTTCCGTTATTTCATGTGAGAAATGTGTCATTTCAGTAAACGTTTTGAAGCTACGAATCTAGAGCTAGCCCACAAATATTCAACAAAAGAAAAACACGCATAAGGAAGTTACAGAACACAAAAAAGCCCAAGTAATTACGTAATCACAACACAATGGAAGTGAAATTACTACGGACCAGACTATTCAAAAATCAAATACATT